TGAAAGACGTAACATTGAAAGAATGTTTAAATAATATATTTTTGATGTTTTAGGACGGAGAAATCTTTCGGAGAAATCTGACGGAGACTTTCACAAGGATTTATTAAAAATTTTATCTGACACCAACAAACCGCTTGACGGTGTTGACGGTTTTTTAGTACAACTGGGCGACATTTTAAGACGACTGCCTTATAAAAATCGAAGAATCGTCCAAAACAAAATTATGAACGATGTTTTACAGGCGGAAGAAGATGCAGGTCTTTTATAAAAAAAAACGTTAATTTTATTTATGCTATATATTTATACGTCAGTTAATATTTATCTAAATTTATAAACACTTGCATTCAAAATAAAATACATTTATTTTTCATATTTCAATGTTTCTTTTTATGTCGTTAATCTTAAATATATTATTAATGTACGGGAATATGTACAATATAATGAATGTGTGTGTGAGACTGTGTATGAATGTAAGAATTTTTTCAGTTAATAGAGAAATGTGTTTAAAGAACTGCAAACAAAACAAATATAATAAGAAATAAAGATAAGAAACATAAGACAAATAGTTAAATAAAAGTAATAAAATATTAATAAATAAATGAATGAAACCCGCGAAATAAAGAAAGAAATGAATAAAACACATAAAATAAATAAATAAATAAAACAGAAATTAAAACGTAAATAAAATACAAAATAAATTAATACATAAGTAAAACACGCAAAATAAAAAATCAAAATCTCTATAATTGATTAAAAAAGTTCTTACATTTTTTTGTGAAATAGAACTCTTGAATTTTTAAAAAATGAGAATCAGTTGATTGAAACATTAATAAACATACGTTGTTTATTGATTTTAACTTAATTAGAACTAGTTAAAAGTCATTATTTGCAGCTTTATCCCACTGCCATTCTACAGCACCTTCGTTAAAAAAATATTCAGCAAATCTATCTCGATAAATACCGCCTAAATTTCCTCCTGAAATCATTTCTTCATTAGTGCTATTTATTATATTTGGTCTAATATACGATGCAAGTTGTTCGTCGTATTCATTATACTGTAAATAACGTCTCTGTTGAGGTGGTTTTTGAAGTTCCCTTGTAATAATGAAATTGTGTAGGCAAATTGTGGCCAATACTAATTTTTCGGCTCTTGAAACGTCAATATTTATTGGCCGTCTAAAAATTCGCCATCGCGCTGCCAAAATTCCGAAAGCACTTTCAACCACTCTTCTTGCTCGGCTCAAACGATAGTTAAAAACTTTCTTTTTTAAATCAAGGTTTGAACTTCTCGGATAAGGGCGCATCAAATATTTGGAAAGAGGGTACGCTTCATCAGCAATTAGAGAATATGGTAGTCTCCTTCCACCAACTTCTGCAGTTGGAGGTATGTCCAAAGTATTAGTTTCTAGCCCATTTTTTATAGGACTATTCGTAAATACTCCACCGTCACTACAACGACCTTCTTTCCCAACATCTACTAGTATAAAGCGATAGTGGGCATCAGCAACACCTGTGAAGTTGATACTATGCGCTTTTTTATAATTGTAATATTTGGAGCCACTATGAGGAGGAGACTGAAATATAAATTTAATTTGTATTAAACTATTCCGTAATGAAAAAATTGCTTCATGTACTGTGGAGAACATTAGTATAAGAAGAGTCCACAGAAAAATTGTGAATTAAATAAAATACCTGTAATACAATATGCTTTCCATCAATTGCCCCTATGCAATGAATAAATTGCCACATTTCCTCAAAATCTTTAGCAATTTTCATCCATTCTTCTTTATTAGGAACTCGTAGGACTACGTCTTTTAAATGGCACCAAATTGCATGACAAGTTTCATGAACAATTTGTGATACTGTGTTAGGAGAGACACGAAAAGCATATCCCACTGATTTTATGCTGTCTCCGCTGGCTAAATATCGTAAACAAATCTGTAGCCTTGTGTAAGCAGGAATTGGCTCTCTAACAGCTATCTGCTTTTCAATTGCAGGAGCCACAATTATAAGAAGCTCGTCAAAAATATTCGCATCCATTCTTAAATAATTGAAGTGGAGCGAAGGGTCATGTGTTCTCATCATCGAAATCAAATTATCACTATCACCTTGGAAAAAGCGCTGTTGCACCGTATAGATTGGTCTGACCCACATGCTACGTTTCTTTTTCTTCTTTTCAGATAAAATTATGTGCATTGTTAATAATTTTATTAAAGTTAATCTAACCTTTTCTTTTCGAAAAGGTGTTATCGGAGTCTTCATGTATATTTTCAATAATGGTATCATAGCTTTCTCTACCATCATTAATTTACTTTCCATTATTTTTATTATTTATATTTCTTATAGCAGAGCCAAGACACTGATACAAACAAATACAAGATCAAGACGCATCACGTATCACGCAAAATTTTTGTGTGCCCTGTGCACATGGTCCGGGAAAAGGGGGTTATGACGCGCCTACGTGAAAACATAAATTAAGAAATAATGCTTTTTATACGATATTTCATTGATTCACGAAATGTATAATACTCTTTAATGTTAATTTTATCTTTGTCTTCACATTTTTAAAAACTTTGTCAATACAATTTACAACTTGAAAAAATATTTTTGAATTCTGTAACCAATTTTTCTGCTAAATTCCGTATCATGTGCACAGGGCACACTGAACTCGTGCGGGATGCGTTATGCGGGATAGCTCTGATTGGTTGTTGCTATGACGGAGCTCTATCCCGCATCACGCATCACGCACCATGTGCCCGCA